CGTATAAACAATATTACGAACCAATTTCATGCTGATAATTAGCACACAGGTGCTCTGTTCAGGGTGTACACTGCCTCTCGTCCAATTATGAGCTAAGACAGCCACGAACTCCTTCGGCATGTATAAGGGGGTATAGATAAATAGGCTGAGATGTGCAGATAATAAGGTGTTGATCCCCTCACCAGTGGCACGCACAAACTGTAATGTCAGCTGCAATTGTTCTCACGTGGAAGCCAGTGAAAACAAATTGCTCATTGGTATTTTTCATTTGCTTTCTGATTGTCTTCAGTAAATATCTGTTGTATTCCTCAGCCATAACATGTCCATATGATGAGACTTCTGGAGGTGCTCTGTAGTGCTCAAATCCTTTGTTCTTGTCGATTGCAGTGTGCTGCCTCTGTGGATTGGGTTTTGAGACGTTTGGAAGCAGGTTAATGACCACTGGCACCCTGTGCATTTCACAGATGAGAGCAGGTTCACCGTGAGCACATGTGCCAGACGTAAAAGGGTCTGAAGAAGTCACGAAGAACGTTGCGCTGTCTGTAACATTGCCTGTAACGTTGGTCAAAGGACTTGACTGGGCTCCACGCTTACATGACCTAAATCCAATAGAAGACCTCTGGGAAATTTCCTTTAATATTTGGAACACTGTATAATAAAATTGATGAATTCATTTTGGTACAACAATACTCTGCAACAAAAGATATTTCTGGAAAGTTGGACTTTGTAATGCTCTGTTTGCCTTTTGGTGTTTGGCGTACTTTGATAAGAAACGGTGGCCTCGAGATAGATCAAATCACAACAGGTGGGAAAAAGTTTGCTTGTTTAACAAAGAAACTAAACCATGCTGTATATGTCTCCTCACACTGCTGACACTAAAACTCATTCACTCTCAATTCAGCTCTCTCTGTCTGTCTCTGTGCCATGATGTGCTTGGTGGCAGGGTGCGCCTGGAGGCCAGCGCATTTAAAAATTCTCCTTTTTTAACTCCCTGCCTTCTGCTTAAAGTGTAGGTGCAGGGAGGGAAACAGAGGGAGAGGGATCGCTGGAGGCAAAGCAGCTTCACAGAGAAGTGAAAGCCTGCAGTCTTTGCACTTCTCCTCTCTTCTCTTCTTTTCCCTCTCTTTCTTCTCTGTATTTCTTTTTCTTTTCCTTTCCCTATTTAGCCCTTTATTCTCATTGAATCCTATAATTATACATGCAGTGTATGTTAAAAAAACCTGCAGTGCCACAGCATGCTTACTGCAACTTTGTTTCTTTTCTTCCTTATCTATGAAACCCACTCCTGCTCTCGCTCTCTTTCTCTCTCGATTCTGGTTATTCACTTTTTTATGGCACAAATTAACATGAAATCAGCCATAGTGGTAAAATACAAAAAAAAATAATCTTTTCTACTTTCAATCAAGTCAACTGGAAAATGTAAAAATGTTGTCAGAGTGTTGTCAAATTTTGTTCACCGGGTAAAACCAAGAAGTTTATTTAAGCATGTCATACTTCTCTCTGAACCCATTGTGTCAGAATTTACATAACCACTTATGTCATTGTAAAGTATGTTGTATGCCACAAAGCCAAACCTGACAGGTTTGATAGTGCTAGCTAACGTAACTGCGTAGTAGCTTAGCAAAATGCCAATCTGATAACAAAGTGCAGCCTTTTATTTTAATAATGAGAAATGACAAACAGAAAAAGTATTGAACAAGCAGGCACGGAAAGTCATGACACCACCTGAAGTCTCTCAGTAATTAGAAATCAATCCTGCCACTTAGACCAAATTAATATCAGCTGGTTCAGTCCCATCTGAGGGCCTATAAAAAGGTATCTCATGTCATGACGGGTAAAACCAGTGAGCTCTCTCAAGACCTTTACAACCTTATTGTTGTAAAACATACTGATGGCATTGGTTACAGAAGAATTTCTAAACTACAGAAGGTTCCAGGTGCTCTCTGCAAGATTTCAGACACAGGAGTGAAAAGAATTATCAGAAGACTTTTCCAAAAGCCGAGGACCACTTGTGGAAAGCTACAGAAAGACCTGGAATCAGCATGTACCATTTTTTTAAAGCAAATAAGTAATAAACTCGAACCAGATGGCATTTTGGTGCAGGATGCTGTGGTAGCCATGCTGGTACAGTTTTGAATAAATCCCCAACACTGTCACAAGCAAAGCACCCCCACACCATCACACCTCCCCTTCCATGCTTCACAGTGGGAACCATGCATGTACAGGCCATCCATCATGGCAGGTGGAGCCAAAGATCTCAAATATGGACTCATCAGACCAAAGCACAGATTTCCACTGTCTAATGTCCATTTCTTGTGATCCTTGGCCCAAACAAATCTCTGCTGCTTGTTGTTTTCTTTAGTAGTGGGTTCTTCTGTCTTTGGACTTCTGCATCTCAGCTTCTTGCAGTAGTCTGTCTTCACACGTGCTCTGAATGATTTGTACATATACTGACTCCTGTAAAGACAAAGAAAAGGCTGAACAGATTAAAATAACTCTACTGTAAAGATGAGAAAAGTTGTGCAGAGTAAAATAGAAACAGTCTGTCAAAATTTAGCAATAGGTCTATGTCGGAATCCGGACTGTGGTCTGGTCCCTCTATCGGTGACCAAGGAGCTAAGGGAACGCATTGTGCCAACAAGTGTCCTCACAGCAAAAGCAAAATCGTGTGTGTGTGGTGTAGGTATTACTCATTTTGTCACTGTAAAGATTACTGTGACACAGCCGTAACCCTTAGTGACTAGTTGGCAACTCCCTAGCAGCATCCATTCACTATGGAAAAATCCATATTGCCAAATCAGTTGGCAAATGTTTGGTGGAGGTTGCTGGTTGCCGCTGGGTGCTGCTAAGAGATTGCTGCAGGCGCCCATACTTTACATGGAAGATGCCAACTTGTTTGCAAACATAGCCTAACTCTTTTAGAGGCACAGTTTTTACTTTGAGGGCAAAAATTCTCTGTTTCTTGCATTGTCACTTATCGAATAGTTGTTTGTGTCTACAGAAACATAGTTGCAGTTGTGGCAAAGTCCTAGTGACCAAAGCTGTTAAAATTATCAGTGCAGAATTGTATACTTCTTTGACAAATTTCTACTAATGACTATCAGCAACCACTTGCCAACTGGTTGGAGAATATATATTTTTCCCTAGTAACCGGTCATTACCAGCAGGTCACCGATCTGTAGACCTGCAAGACTGGAGCTTTAGCAGTTGATTTCAGAGTGACACCCAGCAAACACTCACAACTAGTCAGGGAATACTCATTTTGTTCCCTAGCAACCAGTGGTTGAGAGGTTGTCACCACCTGTCTCTAGGCCTGTGTGACTGGGGTCTTGGGCAGGCAGTAGTTAGTAGTAGTAGTAGTTAGTAGTAGTTAAGGCTGGACTGATTCTCCAGGAGTGCAACTCAGTGTAACGTCCTCTGAAGTCATGTTTACATGACTGTGAGTGAATGTGACAGAAGGCAACTTTGCCTATTCTTTGAATATGTGTGTGTCTTTGTGTACGTACAGTGTGCACCTGTTATGAAGGATTTCCACCTTGAAGACGATTTGCACTGACAGCACATGAAGAAGAGGTGATGGGGTTAAAACAAATAGAAGGGAGAAGAGTAGGAGGAAGAGGAGGGGGGGAATCTTGGTGCAGTTCCAACTCTGAGGTCACCTTAATATTTGATCTGCTTCAGTGGATGAAACGGTCAGAGAGCAGCTGCAATAGAGAGTTGGAGGGAGAGAGAAATGCAGGATTAAAAACAAAATGAGGGAGGGAAAAGAAAACCAATATGGGAGCTACTGACATTAGAAACAATACCAGGGACAAGACCTGCTCTTTGTTCATTTTAAGGACCTTTGAGCAAAGCAATGGAGGCAAACTCTGGTTTATTACAGCCAGCATTGTTTTGCCTTTGCTTTGTGACCATAATTTCGAGAGACATAGGATGTAAAGTCAGGTCAAAGGTCTGCAACTAGTAGTTTCACAAGAAGCATATGAATAGTTTTTGCTTCACAGAGTCTCACACATCTGGATTTTAATGCTAGATTCATTGAAAACCAGAGCTTAGAATATTGGGACACTTTCTGCAAGGGGAACGGAAATAACCTGAATGAGCTTGCTGAAATACAATCAAAATTTCAGAATCGTGACACTGGTCTCCTCAGAAACCGGCTCCATGACCACGGCAATGCCATGACAACCCTGAGGCCGATCAGGAAATCAGCAACGCAGATGGCAAACAGACAGATGATGAGGACAGACACATACAGAGAGATGGGGCGATAAAGCGATGATGAGGGGTTTCATGGAGGGAGACAGACACAATGCCCATTGGAGGATCTGATACAGATAGAAAAGGAGGAAAAGTGGCAAGGAAGTTAAACAAAGTAATAACAATAATATTATATACAGGGCAATAAAAGATCCCTCTTTAGGATCATATCAAGGATTAGTTGTACCGAGGCACTCCAAAGTGGTAATTTGGCCTACTGCTGAAATTTGTGCAAGCAAATGTTGTACACCGCTTTAAGCATAATTGTTTTCAAAGTCATCATACCATAACAGGATGATAGCAGATATGGTGCTTAACCCCTTCCACACTGGAAGTCCCTGTCTTGCAACCTGGGTGTAGAAGTGTTTAGAAAAAGTCACTGAAGAACACGAGACCTAGATTTTTATTTTCTAAGTTTTTATTACATAAAAAAGGGGTTTAAGTTGTTAAAAGTATTTCCTGTTGTGCTGCCAAGTGCAGCGTTGCTACTGAAAGAGACTGAAGAAATTCAGATTACCTTTACAAATGGGAAATTTCTGTTACTTGATCATTGTTTGAGGTTTAATAGTCCAAAAGCAAAGCATGAAAGCAGCTATTTCTCTGAAACCTTTCATACTTTGTTAGCTTCTGGTTAAAAGATTTGTATTTGCTCATATCTCGTGCCATACAAGGAACTAATGTCAGCGTGTCCACCGATGACAATTATGGTAACTATTTTTTGCCTTGATCCATGTGTGCAGGTGCTGTACGAGCCTCCAGTATCTTCCCCATCCTGAGTGTGATCCTGCTCTTCATGGGGGGGCTGTGCATCGCCGCAAGCGAGTTCTACAAGTCACGGCATAACATCATCCTCAGCGCCGGCATCCTCTTCGTCTCTGCAGGTATTAAGGGAAATAGGAAAACAGGCAGACTTACCGGGAGATATAACAGTCAAAGTGGGTGAGTAGATGGAGGTAAACATTAAGAAGAAGCAAGTTAGAGGAGGTAAAATCTTTGTGGATGTATGAAGAGGCAGATGAAAATGAAGCTGACCAAAGAGCCAGCGTAAGTTAAAAACTATACTGATATACTGGAAGAAAAGGGAAGGGGAGCATATTAAGCAAATATTAAGAAGGGTTTCTGTTGGACTTGATGATTTTATGTTACCACTGTGAAAAATAATACATATATAGATTACACAGTGGTATGATTTACTTTACTACTAGGAAAGTGATTGAAAGTGAAAACACACTGGCTAGTCCACCTCTCAATGGCTTAAGAAAAACAATAGGAAGACTTAGGAGTGGCCTTGTCCTTACCTGGATCAGATTGAGATGCTGTGGCATGATCTTAAAAAGGTGGTTCATGCTCAAAAACCCTCCAATGTGGCTGAATTACAACAATTCTTCAAAGATGAGTGGGCCGTAATTCCTCCACAGGGCTGTAAAAGATTCATTGCCAGTGATCACAAATGCTTGATTGCAGTTGCTGCTGCTTAGGGTGGACCAACCAGTTATTAGGTTTAGGGGGCAATGACTTTTTCACACAGGACCAAGTAGGTTTGGATTTTTTCCCTCTTAATAATAAACACCTTCATTATGAAACTTCTGTTTAAATTTGTTTAATGATCTGAAACACTTAAGTGTGAACTTGACCATGTCCATATTTATATATATGGCCAAAAGTATTTGTTCGCACATCTAAACTTGGGTAACATCCCATTCTAAATTCATAGGGGTTAATAGGATGTTGACCCTTTGCAGCAATAACAGCTTCAACTCTTCTGGGAAAAATTTCCACAAGGTTTAGGAGTTTATGGGAATTTTTGATAATTCTTCCAGAAGCACATTTGTGAGGTCAGACATTGGTGTGGGAAAAGAAGCCCTGGCTCACAGTCTAAGCTCTAAATCACCCCAAAGGTGTTCTGTCGGTTTGGGGTCAGGTCATTCAAGTTCTTCCACACCAAATTTGCTTATTCTTGGACCTTGCTTTGTGCACTGATGTGCAGTCATATTAGAACAGAAAGGAGCCATCCTCAAACTGTTCCCATGAAGTTGGCAGCATGAAATTGTCCAAAATGTCCTGATATGCTGAAGCATTAAGAGTTCCTTTCATTGGAACTAAGGGACAGAGCCCAACTCCCAACACCATAATCCCCCCTCCACCAAACTTTGCAGTTGGCACAGTCAGATAAGTACCGTTCTCCTGACAACCGCCAAACCCATGCTCGTCTATCAGAATGCCAGACGGAGAAGTGTGATTCGTCACTCCAGAGAACATGTCTGCACTGCTCTAGAGTCCAGTTGCACTGCATTATACAGCACCGCATCCGACACAAGACAAAGATAGTGCAAGTTGCCATTTTGCCACAGAATTTTTCTGATTGTGTATGTGTGTGTGGCTGTGCATGGTTCTAGGCCATGGCCTACTGTGCTGCACTAGATAACTAGTTCCCCTCCAAGTCAGAAGTGAGAGATGCAGTTCTGTCTCTTTCTCTCTCTTTCTCACTGTCTGCGTCTGACTCTCTCACCCTGTTGCTAGGCTAAGAGGAGGCCACTGGGATTACACTCTAAAAATAAGGTGTCCCTGATACTTTTTCTCTGATCCATCTCAATCAGGCCTACAAAGTCCTCACACCTCGGACTGCTGCTCTATGTCTTTGTGCAGAACTGTTTTCATCGTTTAGCTTTGTATTCGTCTTGTTTGTCTCTCTGGCTGTCTGTCCATGTCTGTGTCTATTTCTGGCTACACACACCCAGAATCCTCTTGTATGATGTTGAAAATACAGAAAGGGAGATAACAGAGAGCCTGACAAAGGATGTGAGTTGAAGCTCATTGGAGGCTGGGGGGAGACAGAGGAGGGTAAAATACAGAGGCACAGATGAAAACATTCAAATAAGACATAAGAAATAGAAGTGAACCTGCCCCAGTTTGGGAAAAAAAAAATCCTCCACTTTTGGGAATATGCTTTCTTTCAAGTATCACTGATTCTACTTATATTAATGCTGCTGCGCATAGATGCACATTGCACATTGTTAATTTACTAATTTATTTGAGGCATATTTATGGTTCTCTGCCATGCTCACTGATCAGCCACTTCAGCCATCAGATGTGAAGGACAGCTATTTGGCCACTTTCCTGGTGGATAACAATAGCAGTTGAAATGTAAACAAATTCAACATAAAAGCCTCAATTAAATATGAAAAGGTTGCTTTCTTATAATAATCATAAATGTCATTCTAGGCCCTGTGACTGCCTATTGAATCATTATACTTTCAGTGAAACACTACTATGTGTCAAAATAATGACAAATCATAATAAGTCATTTTAAGCCTTCAGAGGTTTGATTTTCCCCTCAGGGAAAATGTTCGGTATTAAAGACCTACACGTACGTCTGAAAATGGGGACTATGAATAAAAATGAATGTAGTTGCTAAACAGTTAATGTGATCCTTTTTATTAAAACACTAAAATTAAAGCCGCACGTCTGCACTTCAATCACATGTCGACTGTTTGATTTGAATTTCCCAGTGGTGGTGTACAGAGGCAAAACTACAAAAGCTGCGTAGTCCAAAAAACTTATGGACCCTACTGTACATGCTGAACTCGATTCAGCTGCTGCTGGTACCAGCTGTCCTAAATACAGTACTTGCTGCCCTCCATACAGAGAAAAGTTACAAAAATGTAGTCAGTCTGAGCAGACAGTGAAAAGTGTGGAGGAGGGTAAGATTTCTAAGAGGAAAATATAAATATGACATATGATGATCTTAATTTGACCTGATTTTATAACATATATGTTTTTGCATATTTACTTTGCATACACCGACATAACATTATGACCAGTGACATGTGAAGTGAATTATGATGCTTATTTCTTCATCGTGGCAGCTGTTAGTGGGTAGGATATATTAGGGAGTAAGGGAACATTTTGTCTTTAAAGTGCACTATGAGAAGAAGCCAAATGGGCGGAGGCAGTATGATGCTTTGGGCAACATTTTCAGATCATGTACACACTTTCATGGAAACAGTATTCGCTGTTGTTTGAGGAACACAACAGTAAGTTTGAGGTTCTGGATTGAATGGATGTGCTGGACAAACAAGTCCCATCCATGGAGGCTCAACCTTAAAACTTATAGGTCTGGACTGCCAGACACCACAGCACACCTTCAGGGGTCTAGTGGAGTCCATGCCTCAATGGGTCAGGACTGTTTTGGCAGCAAAAGGGGGATCAACACAATATTAGGGTGGTGGTCATAGTGTTACGCCTGTGAATATTTCATTGTACTGAAGTTAATGTGTGCTTAACGTGTGGCTTTGTCTGCAATTGGCTGCATTTTAGCTCTTGAGCTAATCTCCATCCCTCATTTCTTTACCCAGGCCTGAGCAACATTATAGGAATCATTGTGTACATATCAGCCAATGCTGGGGATCCTTCCAAGAGTGACTCCAAGAAGAACAGCTACTCCTACGGCTGGTCCTTCTACTTTGGCGCCCTCTCCTTCATCATGGCTGAAATGGTGGGTGTGCTGGCTGTGCACATGTTCATCGACCGACATCGGGAGCTGCGTGTGGGGGCACGAGCCGCCGACTACCTCCAAGGGGCAGCCATCACACGCATCCCAAGCTACCGCTACCGTTATCGACGCCGCTCGCGCTCTTCGTCCCGTTCTACAGATCCCTCGCACTCTCGCGAGGCATCGCCAGTGGGCCTGAAGGCCTTTGGGACGCTGCCCTCCACTGAGCTGTCCATGTACACGCTCCCCAAAGGCCAAACAGGCACTCCGACAGCCACCTATAACTCCACGGAGAGGGACCACAACTTCCTGCAGGTCCACAACTGCATCCAGAAGGACCTGAAAGACTCAGGTGGCCATAGCAACACCGCCAATCGGCGCACCACACCTGTATGAAAATGACACAGACATTAAGAGAAATCAGAGGAACTCTGGGGGGAAAGACAGATTGTGGCTTAAGGAGACAGAAAGAGAAAGAGGGCTCCAAAAGACTGAGGAGCGAGGGGTAGGCAGCAGAGGGGAAGTTCTGAGAGCTCCACAGCGCCTCAGATAATCACAGAGTTTCTGTTTAATAAAAAGGAAATGGAGTAAAATTGCATAAAAAAAGAAACATGCATGATTTTCCCATGAACCATTGTTTAACAAGTTTTGAACATGTTTGTAAAGAGTTGAGGGGAAGGTCGGGGAAAGATGAGTGGGGATGGGGGGCATTCATGATGCTGGGTTGGGGTGGTTGGTGGTTGTCTCGGGGCTGTGGAACTGTGGAGTGGTGGGCTGGGCCAAACTGCCCATTTATAGGCGAACTTTATATTTTTTACTCTTCCTCAGTCTGATTGAAAGGCCCCACGGCCCTGCCTATGAACCAACCCTCGCACTACCATACCACAAGCCCCTCCCCCCCAACACACGCACCCTAAATTCCCTTATAAACCCTACTCCTTTCTTTAGTTACTGTATCTTCTTGATTTCATTCTTTATTCGCATTAATACTGTGAACCATTGCGGTACGGGATTTTAGCAGGGAGCATTTCAGGCCGCAAAAAAAAGAGAAAAAACCAAGAAAAAACACATAAGTTAATATATGTATTGATTATATATAAATATATGAACATATATGTTAATAAATCATGACTCGACTTCCCTGAAGCAAAAAATATCAAGAAAAAAGAAAAAAAAAGAAAGAAACAACGTAACCTACAATGAAACTAAACCGAGTCGTCATGGAAACTAAACCAAGACGGAGGATTCATTGTGACTGGCTCATTTGACGGGCAAAGGCTTCAGCCTACTTGATAAACTGGTATTGGTTAGCGTTAGACACATTATCACATTCTTTTACAACAACAACAAAATCGTTTGGCCTTCCGCCAAAACCCTGGCAGCCATCTTTGTTCAGGGTCAGCTAGATGTGAGTTGGCCACTCTTGCTTTTGCCCCATACAGGGGTGAAGTGAAGAGAGAACTCTGGGTAATGGATGGTCTCTCTGCAAACTTGCAGATGACTATGGACAATGAATCGTCACTACTGCCAAAGACACAAAGTAGTGCGTGTGAGAACATGGCTACGAGTGAGCTGAAGCTAAGTGACTCCAAAAAAAAATTAAGAATTTACATGCATGCTAATCTAAAATCATCCGATCTGCTTTTAAGGAACCTATGTTTTGAACAACTGAACAATGATACCATGTAAGGGCAGTGGGAGTGAAAAAAGTAGTAATTAATGTTACAGTACTGTGTCAATTTCAACTTTTCTTTATCTTGTTTTTCTTTTTGAGTGGGTTATTTGGGGTGGGGTCTCATCATGCTTGAAACAAAAAAAAACAACCTTTGAAAAACGTATCAAGGCTTTTTTTTTTTTAACAGAAGAGAATCTTATCTTGCCTTTTCATTTAATTTTATTTCCTCCATTACTTTGGACTTTCACACAGCCTTAGTCTCTTTCTTTATCTCATTTTCTTGTTCTTTGGTTTTGCTTTGTGTTGTTGTAAATGACAAATTAAAACAAAAAAAACAAAAAAACATAATGTCTTTCAAGGTGCCAAAACTGAATGATTCTGAACTTGGATGCATCAAGTCCTGATGACAAATAAAAATTGAACCCCCCCGTAGGGAACTGAATGAGTCTTTGTTGTATTATATTTGATCTAACGTGAACGTGAAACATGAACATGTAGAAACCGAGACTGCAACTGCTGTTGAAGATCTGGCTCTGGCTGCTGGGCTGGGGGTCAGCATGCACTCAGCTTTATCATCACTCTGGGTTTATGGCTAGCTTTGTGTTAGCATTAGCAGATACACCATACTTCAGTTGTTTCTGCATTTTTGTTTGATTTATTTCCCTTGTAGCCATGGTGTGTAAATAACCTTTGTAATGCATAATTGTAACCATAACGTAATTAATAAATATTAATACATTTAGTACAGTAACAGTAATGCACTAACGTTACATTACTGCATTACTGAAAAATATTTTGGGACTACAGTAATGCATTACTTTGGAACACATTATGCCCAGCACTGGTGATTCTTCTGTGGAAGTTTGCACGGATGCCTCGCCACTGCATGAGTCTTTCAGCCAGAAGAGCTAAAAAGAAAATGAGCCCAGAAGTTTTGTTTTTTCATGATGTGGTATTTAAGTATGTGATAGATGAGAACATTAATGTTCAAGGATGTGTTATTTACTTACTTGACATTATAGATGCATCATTGATGTTAGCTGTACTGCTAATGAAGGACATTGCTACAATGTGTCCTTTCCCACAAATAACTTATAAATCTAAGGTGTAACATCTAAAAAAGCACTTCATAGATTTGATATTCACCGCTTGTTTAAGCATTAGATGAAATGTCACCTTCTTTGATAAGGTACAGAGCAATGCAAAAGTGGGCAAATGGCCGCTTCGTGACACTCTGGTGCGTCACGTAACTGTTGGGCCACTAACTCTAAGCTAAATAAAATCAGCTAATTAAATCTGACATTTATTGTTCTGAAAACTGTAGGGAGTGCCTCTACATAGAGATGAGATCCTACTGCCATGAGTGAAACACTTCCAAATGGTTAAAGCTGGTTCAGCTGGAACAGCCAATCCTAGCAGTTTGGCTCACAGTGGCTCAGGTGATACTCGGCCACTTTCATTCATTCACTTTAACTTTGCCTTCTTAGTCACTCATTCACAGCACTCTTCAGTATCCCTCTTTCTGTCATTCTTTCACTTTTTTCTCTGTTGCTGTCAGCTCTTCGTCAGCTGTCTGTCCTGCCGTTTTCACGAGCTCTGGAATAAATCTCAAATTCTTAAATCAGCCTCGATGTCCTGCATGTTGCATTAAAGTCTGCATCATGCGCTGTCTGTCCCTCTCTTTCCTCCGTCCCACTCTCTCTCCTCCCCCGGTGTGATGATCAAAGTGGCTGGCATGTCTCTCTGCAGTACTGCTGAGATCACTGAAGAGCAGTGAGCGAGCGGGGGAGGGAGGGAAGGAGGAAAGAGTAAAGGGAGTGGAGTAGCAGCTCTGCTCCATTCAAACAGCAACACGCTGCCCCCATCCGGACCGGAGGTACATAATGATTTTTCTTCATCACAAAATTTGAACTTGGTGACCTCGCCAAAGTGCAGGCAACATAAATCTTCCACAGAGCATTTGCACCATGAATATATTGGAGGCTAAATTTTGTTGACATCCTTCTAAGATTCACAACAGAGTCTAGAAAGATTTTAAATATATTTATAGAATCATTCCACAACAAAAGTCATCAAGGTACTTTATACTGTAAGGTAAAGACCCTTTAATATTAGAGGGAGAAAGCCAACAACCCCTAAAATAACCCCTATAATCAAATGCTTAGAGGAAGGGGGGGTTTTGACTAGGAGTAGGCAGACTTTACATCATTCCCTCATCTTTCAGATCTGCTCTCTAGAGTTTGCACAAATCCAGTATCTGGTATAACCACCTTTTTCCTTCTTTAAGTAGAATTCAGGAATAGTTCTCTAGGCTTCTTTAAGGGCATTCAGAGCTCTTCTTTGGATGTTGGCTGTCTTTCGTTCTGTTGTCTGTCAAGATGATTGCACAATCATTTTAAAATAATGTTGAGGTCCAGGCTCCGGAGAGGCCAATCCATGGCTGACTGAGAGTCTTCCATTGAGTGTTTTTCTGTCCTGGTGTGCTTTTAAAGCACTGGCAGTGTGCTTTCGATCATGTTGTGGGGAGAAATGAGGCTGCTGCCAGTCAGATACTTTCCAGATGGAACTGCATGGTGGCTCAAAATCTGACAGTACATTTCTGCATTTATAATTCTATTCATCTTGACAAGATCCTCAACACCAATGGCTGAAATGCAGCCCCAAACCATGACAGAGCCTTTGCCATGTTTTACAGATGGCTGTAGACCAGGGGTCCCCAATCCCAGTCCACGAGGGCCGGTGTCCCTGCAGGTTTTAGATGTGTCCTTGATCCATCACAGCTGATTTAAATGGATAAATTACCTTCTCAACATGTCTTGAAGTTCTCTAGAGGCCTGGTAATGAACTAATGATGTGATTCAGGTGTGTCGACCTAGGGTGAGATCTAAAACCTGCAGGGACACCGGCCCTCGCGGACTGGGATTGGGAACCCCTGCTGTAGACAATCACTGTTGCCCCATTGATATTGATAATGGCTCCTTGACAGTTAACCTTCCACTGAGACCATTTCTGATGAGGCTTCAGTGGACAGTAGATGGATCAAATGAGGTCTTGTGTCAGGCCTCTTAAATCTTTACCTTTGAACCTACTACTACCTACCTTTATTCCCTTTGCTCAATTGAGAACTTTCTGTTATTTTTCAGGTCTGTTTCAAGAACAAAATGACTTGGTTTGAGGGTTGGTTGCAATTTTTTCCACAGTATTGCACTCTTACTGGCTGGGAGCAATTTTATTGAGATATGAGACGACTGCCAGTTTCACACATTGCTACAAATGACTGTTTTTTGTTATTTTTTCGCCTGAGGACTTTAAGCTAGTATTTGTTGGCCATTTTACTATTTGTGCAACTCTGGTAAGGATTTACAAAACATCTGTTGGACTGCTTTGTACAACAAAATGGGGGGGAAGTTATGAATGTTAATGGTTATCTCAAATGTAATATTGCAATTCTTACAATACTGCCTGGAGGTTTCCTTAATTATTGAAGAATGCAAATGCAATGACTGCTATTTTAACAAATGGCACCTCAAATGGAAGATAATGAAATAAAAGACAAACAACCAAAAACATTTCGTGGTGACGCAGATGAGCTCAGAGGCACGGTAGCTGATTATTGTAAGGGAAGCAGATCTGGGGGAACAGCTGCTGTGTCCTCCCTCACCTGCAATTAGTAAGCTTTTTAGGTCATGGACGGTTAGAGGCTATAGAACAAACCATGCTTAGATTCAAGCCTACACACAGACCGAAAAAAGCAAAAAGAAGAGAAATCAAGGTTGAGGTCAGTTCACCTCGAATTAAATCAAACGATAAGATTGTGAGTTAGAATATTTTTATAATTATTGCATAATTTGGTGTGTCAATTTAATAAACCTGCACAGATTTGTGCCTGGCGTCGATCTTCTTGGTCTGCTGTGGCATGAGACGAATATAAATGGTAAAAGAGCAGCAGCGACTTTAAAAACTACAGGTGTTAAGCAAATGGAAACAGGTTTTTTCAGAGAGTAAGCCACCAGACAGGCAGAAAGCTGATCTGCAGGAAAAGTGCGACAGAAACAGAAAAACAGCCAGAGTAGGTGTAAGATATGAGTTGGAACTCTCCGCCCTGTGCTCAGGCTGTGTCATGAATACAAAACTCTGTGTTGGATGAGGAGCACTGCAGTGAAATGTAGCTCAAATCAAGTCCTCGGGTCCCAAAGCACACTCAGACCTTCCACAGATATGATGTGCTGTGTTGTGCTACAGCAAGACCGTGGATCGGTTTTAATGAAGTCACTGTCAAACCATTAAACATGTCTGATGCGTTTTTATTAAGTGTAAAAGAGCACAGCACGCATAATTGACTCAAATATAAACATATGGTGGCATTTTAAGGTAATCAAAGTGTCAATTAGGTTGTATCCAAACATAGCAATTAGTGCTTCAAGTGTTTACTCAACCTTTGCACATGTGGGGATTTTCAATGCAGCAGCTTAGGCTCTGCTTTAAGTTCAACACACTGCATTAAACCTGATGACAACTGTCTGTGAAATTGAATCAGAAATTCATCAGTCAAGGCTTGCACTTAAGAATTTCTGCTTATTTTCATACACTTTCTCATCCACATTTCTCAGCATCCACAAATGTGTGTTGATCAGCTGTTTTGTGTTACTGTGACAAAATGTAGTTTTGGAGAAACTACTAGTGGAACTAGCACAAAGGCGGTTTAGGCAGGTGACATATGTCTGTCTGCGTATCAACACAGTGGCAGCATGGTGTGCTGCCCAGTGTGGGCAAAGTGAGATTTGGAGAACTTCTATGTACCCCATATGGGCCAACATGGGCCCCACATGAGTTTTCTGTAAGAAGGCCCATGTTCTGCTGTTTTCTAGAAGTGTGTGGTCCAAAAGAACAAAACTGCTGTGGGGGCTGTGTAGGCAC